CTGTCTAAATAACCAAACCAAATGTACTAAACAAAAATGTTCAGCATATCAAAAAATCTTATCCCAACTCTATTTTTAACTTTAGTCTATAACTTTTAATTTTATCCTATTTTTAACCCTAACCTTAAATACGTATTGACAACAAAAATTATAATAAAAAAAATTATTTAAAATTTTTGTAAAATAATTTATATTTCTGAATTTCATATCGTACTTTTGTTTAAAGTATTTATTACATGATGACGTTGACAAACGGTTTAAATACCCCTCTCTGGCTCCCAAGAGCACGGTACTCGATTTTTGTAAGTAGAACTTAATTCACAAGGGTTACATCTGTGATACATATATTGATACATCAATCTTTCTAGATAGTAATAGTTTAGTTAGAAAAGCTATAAATATACTTTTATAATACATGAGTATTATTATTAAAATTATTAACGAATTGATCTAACTAAAATCTTTTGACAAAAAAAAAAGTTTCCGAAGGCATTATATAAATTAAGGGTAATTTCTAACAACATCATCTACAGCTTTTGCAAAATATTCCACATTTTTAGAAGATAAACCTGCCATAGAAATACGGCCATTATCTGTCAAATACACATGATATTTTTCTTTAATGACTTTAACTTGTTGTGCTAAGTGAGAAAATTTGTGAGAGGTTACACATGATAATATTGATTGCAATGTAAACGGGATAAATTATTTCATAAATGAGTTGAATACTTACGTTTGAGTCCAGTAAAAGAGAACATTCCAATCTGATCAGTAATGTGGTTCCAAGTTCCAGGAGTATCAAGTTCAATGAGATTTACATAAAGACGACGACGCATTTCTTGGATACGGAAACTCATGGTTTTAAGATTATCAACCCTAAACATAAAACGCAGAAAATTGTATAATACAATTAAATGACATGGTTAAAATTAATAGTTATTAAAATGTAAATTATTACCATTCTTCAAAGAGTGCGGGGTCATTCAGTACCAAACTAACAATACGAGCCCCGTGTGCCGGAGGATTAGAGATTTCGGCACGTTGAAGTTTTGCAAGTTGACTTTCTACTTTAACGGCAGCTTCAGAATCTTTAAGAACAAATGTCAAACACCCAGCACGCTGACCTAATAATTATAGAAACATGACTTAAAATTCGAGGAATAGCCCTAATTAGAAAAGTACAAATAAATACAAACCATATAAACCAAAATTCTTTGCAAAAGATTGACATATAAGCAATTCGAAACCACGTTCAACAAAATAACGAACAGCCCAAGCGTCACGGTCTAAATCACCACTAGCAAAACCTTGATAAGCACAGTCGAAGAAGGGAAAATGATTTTTTTTCTATGGTGTGAATTTTATTATACGAATATTATACGAATAAGGTAAGTATTTATAACTTATAAATGAAACTAGAATAATTTAAACGACGTACTTCCATAACATCTGCAATCAATTTCCATTGTTCTTGGGATGGATCTACACCGGTTGGATTATGAGCACATGCATGCAATATGATAATAGAACCTTCGGGAGCATCCTGTGAAAGTAAAGATAAGATCAAGATCAAATATTAAAGATTTACAAATATATGACTAAGCCAACTAGATTTATACATTTAAACCCGTACATTTAAGGAGTTAAGCAGTCCATCAATATCCAATCCAATCGTCTTTGGATCGTAGTAAGCATAGTCCCTGGTTTCGAAACCGACATTGTTAAATATAGGCTTATGATTTGCTAGTAAGAGATACAAATGTTAATAAACGTTTATTATTTTCATAATTTGTATAACATATAAGTATATTTATATTACCCCATGTCGGATTGGATACGAAAACAATGCTACCCTTCCGATAAAACCGAGATAAAAAGAGGCCACCAAGATGATTGGCACCAGTACCAGATATGGTCTGTGCGGCCACAACCTTTTTATAAAATTTGGGTTACATTAATAATAAATTTTCACCGATAAAAATGAAATTAAATTCTTACTCGTTTTTCTTTAATGACCGGATTATCAGCACCAAGAATCAACTTTATGGCTGCTTCTTTGAAAGGAGCAAGCCCCGTAATAGGAAGGTATTCATGATCAAGATTAGGATCATTTATAATCTCCCGTTCAGCCTAAATTAATCCACTTTAATTATTTTGTCGCTTCGAAATAAATAAGCCTTATGGAATTCCTCAGCAACGTTAAAAAGTTTATGGTTGCCTCTTACCTTTTTTACAACCGGTAATACCCAAGGTTTTCCGTTATCGTCTCTGTACGCACCAACACCCAAGTTAACCTTTTTTTCAAAGGTATCAGCTTTGTATGTGGCGGTAAGATTGAAAATAACGTCAGGAGGAGCGCGAGGAACATCATTAAAAGTCGATTGTGTCGCTGTCAAAAAAAATATACATATATATTGTTGTTATTTAAAACC